ACATATTGATCTAACTCATTTCTAATATTTCGTGTAGCCCATGAAGTGGCCTACCAGGGAAGATCTTAACCTGTATCTGTCTGGAGTAGGAGAATCATGGTGACTCCCTGACTCAGCTTCTTTCTCGCCAGCATTTTGTTCTGTTTACTCCGCCTATCTAATTTCTACCCTATCAGAGGGCCAAGCAGTTTCTTTATTAACTAACCAATGAAAGCAACAGATAAGATACAAGTCTCACCTCCATCAGACAATGACATTAGGCATGTCTACACTGTTGTCAACTGAATATTTGCCCCATGTCAGGTGTGTAGTAAGAGGAAGAACTGCTATACCCAAGAAGGATGAAGAGATTCTTATGGCAATTGGGTCCAATTACATCAGTGGGAAAGACCATGGAAGATCTGACAACCGTGTGTGGTTACTGGATAGAGATTGACTTCTAAGACCTGAAAAAGTGCTAAAAACACTGTGGGCAAATTAATAAAGGACAAGTGAAGGCAGTAGATTGGGTTGCTCATCCATGGCTTAGATCAGTTTTCATCATAAACTTCCTCACCCCTAAAAGTACAGGGTTCCATCACTGCTTCAAGAACACAGGAAGAGTATGAGGACTATATGGGTTAATATGGTCTTATAAAATGAATTTTCACTGTTCCTTCTATTTCTCTTAATAGGAACAATGTGAAGATTGTATTGTCTTGTTTAAAAATCTCATAGAATTCTGTCATAGTCATTCTAATGGATGCAGAGTCATATTTCATAGCACATTTGAGTTCATTTCTCCAAGATAGGTAACATTAGGCAGCTTTTCCCATATGCTTATTAGCCATTTTTTTACCTTTGGATAAACATTTATACAAGTATTTGCTCATTTTTACTTGTCTTTTTGTTATTTCATTGGAAGTGTTTTTATTTGTGCTCTAGACATTAACTCTTGTGATATACAGTTTGTAAATACTTTCTGTTAACCCTGAAACTGTCTCTTCACTCTATCATATCCTTTGATGCACGATTGAAAAGAGTCATCTATTTTTACTATTTTCATTTTATTTGTATTAGTGGTTTGCCTGAATTTGTGTCTATGAACCATGTGCTCGTTGTACCCTGTTGATTATCATATCACCTCTAGCCCTTTGATTATTTTGTAAGCTTTAGGGTTGTTTTTTCTGGTGGAGAACTTTGGTCTTAAAGTGGATGACATTTTCTCCAACACAGGGCAGATTGACTTCTTCATTTCCTAATTTACGACCTTTTGCTTTATGTCTTTTTAATTTTATGCTCTGGTTAATTCTACAGCATTATATTTGATATTTCTATAGGTTGCTGTGAAAACTTTGTAGTGGAGTGGGAGAAAACAATATTAAGGAACTATTATGTGAGAAAGACATCTATTTCCCATAAAAGGAAAAATAAATAAATGTAAAGATATAAATGCATGCCTATTTTTCTGAAAGCTTCCCAAAGAAACAATTGTGTTTATGGGAGAAAATGTTGGGAGATACCCTGCAAGGTAGTTTCCAATTCTAGGCTACACATTAAAATCATTACGGAAAACTTTAGTTCCTGATTAATATATTATACTTTATATACATCACTTGCCAATGCTTCAAAATAATTATTGCTGAATCCAAAATATTTTGGCTGCAGAATAAAACACTGTATATGAATGCAAGAATACAAAAACCAAAAAAAAATGTCTGAAATGGTAAACATTGTCACAGAGAACCAAACACAGGTGAATGAAGTCAACATCAATACATTAAGATTAATTGATTACAGGTTTTCAAAAACAGTCACAGCATTACTGTTGTGATAGTCACTGTCCAAGAAAGAAAGCATGGAAACTATGAACTGAATGATACAGCATCAATTTTATATAAGTAGAAGCTAGATATATCTGCCACATTCTAGATTGTCAAGTAGAATTCTGTTTGTGTACTTTTGCTTTCTATAATATACCATTTTTAATACTTCTTTTTGTAAGTGAATGGGTTATTCTTGCTAAAGTCTTCCATGTGATTGTATGATGGGGAATCTCTGTCAGCCAATAATTTTTAAGAGGTGAGACGAGGCTAGGGAATGATATTTTGGGTACCCAGAGAAAAAGGCCTGCCTGTGCAAGGTTTGCTCTCTCTCTCTCTCTCTCTCTCTCTCTCTCTCTCTCTCTCTCTCTCTCTCTGTGGTTCCCGCACTACAAAACTGAGGTTGGAATTCTAGTTTCTGTTGCACGAATTTGCCCCATAAATAAAGAAGACATAACTGGACTATATTGTAGTTAGCATGGGATTTTTTGACCCACATCATTCAACAATTGTATATACATTTTAATAAGCCAGTAAACCAGCTAAACTATCAGATGGAGGTCATGCCATACATTTGCATTTCCTTTCTTTTCATTTTTAATATTTTATTTTCTGTCTTTCTATGAAAATATGAAATGATCTCCGGAGGAACTGAACATTAGCAAGTTACAACATTCATCTATTACAAGGAAACCCTCAATGATGAACATCATCATTTCATTCAGAATACAAGTCAAGATAATAATTAGCAGGCAAGAAAAAAATGGAGGGAAGTCCACGCTGTGTAAACCATATACATTTAAAGACTCAATCATAACTCTCAGAAGAAGTACAACCAAGTAAATTTCACCAGAGATAAACTTCATAGGCAAGATTATGAGAACCAAGAGGTAGAGATGTGCAATATAGGTTTATAAATTGGATAATAGAAATTGGGCATAACAGCTGAGCAAAGACGTACTTACTGCAGAAGCAACCATCTCTTCTGAGCTTCTACTGACGGAAAAGCTTGAATCCCTTGATCGCCTGGAATCGCTCTTCAGGATTTGCATTAAAAGTATCATCAAACACAATTCACCTGAGAAAAATCACACTAACCGTCTGCACAGTCTCAGGAATCAAGAATGTATTTACTCCTGGCTAGATTACACAGATGTTCATGGATATGGGAGAGATGAAAATGCTGTTTCTCCCGTGTTTAGTTCAAGTGATCTACTCAGCTGTCAAGTTATGCGCTGAGAGCTTGGGCTATATTACCCTGTAATACTCAACCAAAGCAAAGCAGAAATGGGGAAAAGAAAGCTGAATTCAACTGTAGATAAAAATCCTAATAAGCGGATCATGGTATTCACCTGGTTTTTAGTGTCAAAGGTCACAAGTGGATGTTGTGTAACGAAACAAAACTGAAAGAAATTTCTTTAGTTAGCATCAGATCCTTCTTGACAACCTGGGCTGAGAAGTGTTTGGAAAACTTTAAGTCTCACATTGCTAAAACTATGTTTACCTGTTATTGTTCATATGAAAATGCATTTATTTAGGACTTTGAGATTTAGAGAGAACTACAGAAATTTGTGGTTTCCTTCAATAAAAAGAGTAGAGTTAAAAATACATTAACACTAGATTTTTTTTCACTAAGCATGTTGTATTATCACAGTATGTTATGATATAGTTATATTGACCTATATATGCTAATTCATATCAAAAGAAGATATTGTGCTTACCATAATTCCAATGAGGTTTCCAATGTGAGGAACAATCTTTTTCTTAGACAAAAGGTGTCAACGAAGAACTATATATAAAATGTGGGGATAGGTAAAGAAGAACACCCAGTAATTAAGAAGGCATTTTTGATGTGTTTTCAGGTGGTTTACACAAGGCAGCTTCTTTATTTAACAAATGAAAGTAAGACATAAACAGAAGACCCTCCTACACCAACCTCTATTTCTGTTCTTTTTAACTTTTGGCTTTTTGAGACAGGGTTTCTGTGTATCTCTGTCGTGGAACTCACTCAGTAGTCAAGGCTGTCTTTGAACTCACAGAGATCCACCTGCCTCTGCCTCAAGTGCTGGGATTAAAGGTGTGTGCTACCACACCTTGAACTCACAGAGATCTGTCTACCTCTGCCTCCCAAGCATTGGGATTAAAGCTGTGTACCACCACACCCAACTCCTCTCTCTTTCTATCTTTTTTTATTTTAAGGACTTCGACCTTTAGCCTGCACATATTTTTAACACACATATATTCTAAAACATATATTTTTACAACATTTAGAGGTTTACTTCATCTTTGAATTTCTCTTTACTGTATATCTCTCTCTCTTTTTCTGACCTCACGAGTCTTGAATTTGCTAAGCACTATGGGTAGGATTAAAGTTGTGGCCTTGATGCTTGGATCCAGCCCATTCCGTAGTTTTCTGAAATTCCAGGCTCTTGGTGGAGGTACCAGCCACAGCCACATTCACTGCCCCCACTCTACAGTGTTTCAATGACCCTGCCAGCAAACAAACTGCAGAAGTGCACTCAGAAACCATAATCAACGCTCCATAGTAGGACCGCCTGCCTGAAAAAGTCATTTACCATGGCCGACGGACTAGAAAGCCAGCACTTAAAAATGGAGCAGCTTTTTTCTGCTATCGCTGAAAACCACAAGGCATGCAGTCAGCTTTTATCAACACCTTTTCAGTGTTTCTTGGCAAGACCTCTTAAAGACCTCAGGGTTTTGCAGCTAAACCTGAGTCAGGAAGCCTCTCTTAAATTAGAGCACTTGCTTGCCTGTAGCAAGCAGAGCAGATCCGAGAAACTGCTGCTACCAAGAAGCCATGCTTAATCTATTCTTTTCTGCCCAGAATTACTTACCAAGCTCTCTGAGGTTTTATGTGGATGCAGTTGTCCACATGGTGGCACCATTCTGTAACATGATGGCCTGCTTGTGGGACTTTCTCTCCTGCCAAGTTCCCACAGTCAGCAAGTCCCAAAGAAAAACATCCAGAGGTCTCCATAAGCTGTAAACCGATTGACCCATTAGCTCAGACTTCTTAGAACTTATATTAACACATTATTTTTATCTATGTTAGCCACATGTCTCAGTACCCTTTTCAGCGGGACAGGTCACATCTTGCTTCTCCCATGGTCTGGACAGGACAGGGGAAAGAGCTTCCTTCTTCCCAGAATACTCCTGTGTTCATTGCACCACCTCTACTTCCTGTCTGGTTTTCCTGCCTATACTTCCTGCCTGGCTACCGGCCAATCAGCATTGATTTAAAACCTACCTGACAGAATATAGAATTGTTCCTCACCAAGATACAATAGGAATTATCAAGCTGATAACAGCTATGGCTAAGAATGTACAAATCCCAGGCATATCACACATGTCGCCATCTACAATAAAAATGAAAAGGTTATTGAATTCTTGCATGGGGATATCATCTGTGAGTATCTCAGAAGTGATTTACAAATTGCAAAAAAAAAATTAGTTAGCAGATGACTTACTTCTGTTAATGTTCTAGTTTAGGTGAGACTATTAAGTTGCAATAATGATGTGGTCCAAAAAAAAACCTACACATTTTCTAAGTAGAACTCAAAACCAACCAAGCTAAGCGGACTTTTGTTGAAGAGATGCTGGTCATAGCAACTGTGATGCAGTTGTACATGAGTTGCAGGGATGGGGAAGCTGAGGTAAACATGTGTGAGACATGAGGCTGGAGGCAAGTAGTGCATGGCTGGACCCACAGGAAGGCTGATGGAGTCCTGGGAAAGCTGTGTGGGTACCCTGTGGTGTGGCAGCAAGGATAGTCACCACAGGAGAGGAAGCAAACCAGGGAGCACTAGTGCCTTTCCTGAACCCACATGGTCAGGTTTGTGCCCCAGTTCCTAGAGCTGGAATTCCAATCCCAGCTCTGACCTGGGCTGGTGGATAAAAAAGCCTCAGAGAAATGAATTTTTCATAAACTCATGCCCCTAACTTTCGGCTCAAATAGATGCAAGATTAATTAAAGCTCAGAGACTTTCACTAGATCTCACTCTCAGATTCCTGAAGTTAGGATCATAATTTTCATACTGATGTCATGGCAAGAGCCAGGGCCTCGCAGCTTATTTTTCCGGTCTTCGGGTTGAACCCCAATATTAGTCTCTGAGCTTTCATTAATCATTCTTCACAGAGGCAGGTGGAGCCTTGTGTTCCAGCCCAGGATGATCTACCTAGTAAGCTCCTTCTGAGATTTGTTTCCAAGCATAGTCACACACACACACACACACACACACACACACACAGAGAGAGAGAGAGAGAGAGAGAAAGAGAGAGAGAGAGAGAGAGAGAGAGAGAGAGAAAGAGAGAGATAGAGAAGCATACATGAACACACACAGAGACACATACCCAAATGACAACAGCAAACAGCCAACCAAAAGAAAAGGCCCAAAACTACAAAAATGTATTAATCTTTATGTTGTCATTGAATGACAGTGGAATTTCATTGTCCTGTATTACTACATTCAATAGGCTGCTTTTTTGTCTTATTGAGTGTGTCCTTTGCTTTACAGAAGCTTCTCGGTTTCTGGAGATTCCATGCATATATTGTTGCTCTCAGTATCTGTGCTACTGGGGTAATATTTAGGACGTTCTCTATTGTACCAGTGCATTGAAGGCTACTTCCCACTTTCTTTTCTAACAGGCTCAGTGTGGCTAGATTTATACCGAGGTCTATAATTTGTTTGGCCTTGACTTTTGTGCATGGGGATAGATATAGATCTATTTTCATTATTCTACATGTTGACATTCAGTTATGGCAGCACCATTTGTTTTTCTTTTTTCCATTGTATAATTTTAGCATTTTGTCATAAAGCAGGTATTCATAGGTGTGTAAATTAATATCTGGGGTTTCTATTTGATTCCATTGGTCAACCTCTCTGTTTTTTTGTTTGTTTGTTTGTCTTGGTTTTTTTTTTTGTTTTGGGTTTTTTTTTCTTTTTGGTTTTTCGAGATTGGGTTTTTCTGCGTCTTTGGAGCCTGTCCTGAAACTAGCTCTTGTAGACCAGGCAGGTCTCAAACTCACAGAGATCCGCCTGCCTCTGCCTCCCAAGTGCTGGCATTAAAGGCGTGTGCCACCACCGCCCGGTTCCAACCTCTCTGTTTTTAATGCCAGTACAAAGCTCTTTTTATTACTTTAACTCCGTAGCAGAGCTTGAAGGCAAGGATGGTGATGTCTGCCAAAGTTTCTTCATTCTAACTGTTGTTTTAGCTATCCCATGATTGTTGTTTTTCTATATGAAGTTGATTATTCCTACGGAATGACTTGTTTGTGAGTTCAGATGTCAACACTAGGTATTGAGAAGCAAAGAAGAGGTTACTTGCCATGTGAGAGTGACTTTCTCCTCCTGAGCATCCTGTAGTGGCCTAGGCAGTCTAGAACTGAAATGTTTCCCTGAGAGATCTTGTGGAATTCACGTCAGGCAGACTCTTGGTTTGGTGTCTGTTGAGGTTTTACTCAGTCCGGCATGCAGCTGAGCTATCACAGGTGAAATTTCACTCTAGTCTCAAGAAGACACCTTCCAGGGAATTTCCTAATCCTGGTGCTCTCTGAAAGGTTACGCACGCACCCTAGAAGTCTTCCATGCCTTACTGAAGATCTGTGCAGTTGGGGAGTCAAGGGAGCTATGTTTTACAGCCAGAACATTTCTCTCACTGGCCATCATACACAAATCGGGGATCATATCATCCCTAGTAGGTGGTTTCTCTAAAGGGCTTGGCCTCCAGGCAAGATGAGTTTATTAATTCTTCAACAGATCCAGCAGTTTCTGATATTCCTCTTCCTCCAGAAGGTACTCAGGTGTTTCGTCTCTCTCCTCCCCTTGGTCATCAGGGTCCAGAGTGGCGAATGCCAGCTGGTTATCTGTGATTTCTCTCAGCACTCTGTGGATAAATTCCTCAGGGCACATGTTCCATGCGTCTTCCTGGAGCTCTGGGTGGTCTGCTTCAGAGGTCTGTGGTGCTACAGGCAATGAGACTCTGGAGGAACTTGTTGAGGTGGTGTGGGTCACAGACTGGTGGATGTCCCCACCTTCTCCAGCAGCCAGAGTAAACAGGCTGCCTTCGGGAATCATGCTGTCCTGGGCAAGCCCAGTCTCACTGTCACACATTGGTCCCTTCAGCACAGTTGATGCCTGAGAGTGTTGTCCTCGTACTCTGCCCCTGCCACCAACATGGTGGCGGGCTCTTCTGTTCTGGAACCATATGTGGATAGTGTCTTCAGGTAAACCGTCCTTCTGGCAAGGTCCTCCCTGGCAGGAAGTTTCAGAAATGGGTCCTTCTCGAAAGCTTGGTGCAGGATCGTCAACTGGAACGAGCTGATTTGTGTGCGGGGCCTTGTGCGACCTGTGAGTGTGCTTCTAGCTTCTGCCTTCACAACATGCTCTTCAGGTCTCTGCAGAGACCTCACCAACCCTGTGCGATTCCGCTGGTTTTGAAACCACACCCGGACACGCGACTCAGGCAGCCCCATTTGCCTGGCAAGTTCCTCTCTTTCCCTGAATGTTGGGTAAGAGTTTCTTGAGAAAGCTGCTATCAGAGTCCCCTTTTGTCTGGCCTGCCAGACAGTTCTTCTCCGGGTTTCTCGCATCTCGGTGGTCTCCCAAACATTGCTACAATTTTCCATCATGACCAAAAGCCTTGACAAGCTTCAAGACGACTAAGCAAGATTTCTGTTCTCCGGGAAAGGCCTAGCTTCTGGGATTTAATACCTCCTTGTGGCCCCACCCATGCCTTTACTCCCAGCATTCCTCGCGTTTAATCCACAACTTTAATCCCAGTGCTTGAGAGGTCCAGACAGGAAGTGATAAGGTGGGGTACAGAAAGGAGCTCACCCCTTTGACAGTAAGGAAGCAAAGAGCAACGATTCTGTTAATTTCACCACAGAAACGCACAGAAAAATGCAAGGTACAAGCTCATACTTCTGGGACTTCTGGGTAAAACACTAGAATTATTTATCTCTAAACTGAACACTGGAAAGCGAGCCATGGTGACTCACAACTTTAAACCCAACCCTGCAGAGTCAGAGGAAGACGTTTTTATGTGCATTCAAGGCCAGTATGACCTACAATTCCAATTGCATGTGTTAGAAATAGTTTCTCGCTGTCGACACAAAAATGCCAAATCAAAAAATGCCTAATTAAAACATATCCAGGTTTAATAGGACTCCTGTGCTCTCGGGTGGCCCGGATGGGAGCCAGAAAGCCGCCAACGTGATCACAGGACCACGAAGACACTTTTCAGGGAGCAGTTGATTAGACTGCTTAAGGGGTCCTGACCTCCTCTGGGGAGGGGTCAAGGTTTGGCGGCTACTGACCTCCTCTGGGGAGGGGTCAAGGTTTGGTGGCTATCTTGACCCTCCTCATTGGGAAGTGTCAAGGTATGGGGGTCTATCTTGACCCTACTGGGGAAGGTACCAAGGTACAAGGAGCACAGCGATGGGGCCTCCTAAGATTGAGGCCAGATATGGCTATTTACAGCAGAATAGCCAGGGCTGTTACACAGAGAAAAACTGTTTTTAAAAAACAAAATAAAATAAATAACAGGAACATGAGATAGAGAGATGAAGGTTTACCAAGAACTTTGGTATGAATATAAAACCTGGTCAGTGAGGTGAATCGTTTGTTTTTTTATTTGTTGTTATTTTTTTTTGTTTTCGAGACACACACAAGCACACACAAACACAGACACACACGTATACACACACACAAGTACAAGTGAGAGCTTGTGCTATACAAATTCCATCAATAATCCTGGAAGAGGAGTTTCTAAAGATAAGATTACATGGCTGCATAAGCAGGGTCTCCAAGGCTTTTATATAAATAAATAGAATGTAAGAGGGAGAATATGCAGTTTTCACAGAATTTTCTAAGCATAAAAGAAAGGACACAACTCAAGCTTCAAGTGATCTTTTCATGATGTGGGAGAGTCTTCTGTTTTGTGTTGATTTCATTGGTTAATAAAGAAACTGCCTTGGCCTTTAATACGACAGAAAATTAGGTAGGCGGAGCAGACAGACAGAATGCTGGGAGAAAGAAGCCAAGAAAAGAAGTTGCCATGATTCTCCTCTCTGAGGCAGACGCAAGTTCAGAATCTCCCTGGTAAGCCACCAGCTCGTGGTGCTACACAGATTATTAGAAATGGGTTAATCAAGATGTGAGAATTAGCCAAAAGAGGCTAGAACTA